TAATGAAACCAAGCTGATGGACTGAGGTGACTTTTAAACTGGCCCATTTTTCAATATAGAGCATCTTCCAATCAGAAAGACTGATGAGCAGTTTTTGGACTATGGGGAGAAGGCCAGGATAGAAATAGCAAAAAAAATCCATTAAGTCTTTGGCAGCYGATTCATTTGAAATATCTGATATTTAAGCATTCATTAGAGATTTTTTTTCCATTGAAATCATAATTATCAGGAAAACTAAAGAGTTTTGTATGTTAAACAACAGCAAAAATATTAGATAATGTAAAAGCAACTCTTAAAGCAAAACAAGTTAATAATGGAATAATGGAAAATTGAACTCCTTGCAGTAAACAATCATGTAACACGTGTTCCTGATGGAACTCAAAATGAGCAAGTGGAAAGAACCCACAGAGAAATTCCTAATTTTATTCCTCTGCTGTCAAGGGAGTTATATTAGATCTATTTAAATGTAACCAGAATCACAGTCGCTCTGTATTTATAGGACAAAGTTTTATTTCCTGCGGTACCTATCTTGACTTTCTATGTAGGCAGGCAACCGTGTGCTTATTAGAAAGCAAATAGCTCCGTTAGTGTCCTGTGACATATGGATCTTCCTGATAAATGACAAAATGACTCTCGGCAGCTGTTGCTTCCTATCTCTCATCTAGGAGTTCTTCAGAGGTAACTGCCTTCTGTTCCAGCAAGGCCCTGCTCATTATGAATCTTAGATGTGAATCTTTTGTCTCTTTCTGCCTCTCAGTCAACTAATTCTTTGTAGAGTGCGAATTTCCTAGATATCTTGATTTCTCTCCATAGAGACAGAAGGAAATATGGATCTAAAATAAGCTTTAGAGTGTATTTACTAAACTACTCCTGTGGATAGACCAGACACTTGCCACAAATCCAAATTCAAGTAATTTTAACAAAAGAGTGGATATGGGCAATATGCTTGCTATCATTCTTTTCTCAGTAATTTGCTAATCAGTAAATTCAGATTAGCATTTTTCAGCATCTCCGCCTATATAATCTTAGCATATCTGGAGAAATCACGTCACTCACGAATGTCACACACAGACCACATGGGTACAGCAGAGGAACAAAAGCATTTATTCCAAATGAGATCTCTTTTGTCTAGTACAAGAACCTATGTCTTAGAAACAATTTAATGTAGGTTTTGAAGATATTTGAGTTTCTAACAATACCTTTAAGGCATGAATGTTCTTTGCATGTAAAGTTTGGATTAAACGATGATGGATTGCTCTGTTTAAATCATGTAAAATGACGTCATCTGTTTTAGCAAGTAGCCTCAAGTGCTATTTTTGCTCTTGATGAATCTGAGTGAGTAGCAGATGATTGTTTTTCTATATTTCTGCAGAGACATSTGAACATTTTGTGCTGCAGTTCAGTGTGCTATATCCCTGGCCCTAACTGGAAGCAGATGAAATTAGGATGTGGGTAAAGTAGCTCAGATGTTTTTCTGGTTCTTTTTTTAYATTTTGTGCTGCTTTTTGCATTGCCTTCGGTGTTATTGTCAATATGAGAGAGGATAAGAGCTTTGGGGCATGACAGAATTCTTATTTAATTACTTCATGTTTAACTTGTCACGGAAATTATYTTAGTGTTTTATTAGATTCTTGATCAAACTACTCAGATGTTCATTTTGCTGGATAATGATAACCAAATGACCCCAGTGCAGCCCCTGTTTAATTCAGCCCCTGTTGATTGAAAGTGAGCTATTAAAATCTATAATTCGTCATGGTTGTAGGCATTCAGATTCTTCGAGCATGTGTTTATGTTACAAGCTTACCTTTATTTCCAGTTGCTCAGAAATAAAAGTGAACTTTGCCCTGAGAAGGTCCTGGTACCTGTTATTGGTGGCTCTGTTTTTGGATTGAGTTTGTAAACAGTGGTTGCTTCTTTTCTGAGGAAGAGCTGTGCAGGTAGATGCACAAATTGTACCTGTAAACACCAGGAGGATTGGAGACAACGGCTGGGGGACACGCAGGGGACACGTGCAGGTGAGTACCGTCTGCTAGCCCCCCGCGTGCCATCAGCCAATGCTCCAAAACTCCCTGGGGAACTGGGGTGACCACCGGCTGCTATGGGCCACAGCAACTTAGCAACGTTGCAGGTGGAGTTCTCATGCATGGGGATGTCTCCTGATGCTGCTTAATTAACTGCTGTAGGTGTAGCAGCAGAGTATGAAGGATTTGRTAAGAGCAGGGATGGAGGAACTACTAAGGCAGACCACAACTAATCTCTTCTTCTGGTGGGTGCTGGCAAAAGTGCTGTGGAGGGTACAGCTGGATCCTACTTACTTTTTGAACACTGGATTTTTCTTAGTCTTTTTGGGAGTGCTAAGTGAGGTGGTGGGCTGTCCTATGGCAGGCTCAGCTTTGTTCGTGATCCTGTCCTGTTAGTAGCAGTTTAATTTCAGGAAAATGTCTGAAATAGAAGGCGTAGAAGTTGTTTTTAGAACAAACAGATAAACAGAAAAGATGAAACAATATTTTAACATTAGTGAAATGCCTRTGTCGGACTATGTCAGGCTTCAGTTTTTGAAATGTATTTCCAGAACTTCCACATTATTTATTTTAAAATTTATTGGTAGCACTTGCGATGCTATTCTGAGTTCAGAAAGCAGTGTTAGTCTTTTAGCCGAGGAGATAGGAAAACCAGGGATGGCCGTGGATGGTTATCCTGAATTATCATGCTCATGTTCTGCTGTTGGAAGGCTTTCTCACTCTGAGTTTGTTTTTGCTATCTGAATTCTAGATTCTAATAGTTCTTTAAAACAAAACTTTTGGTTCCAAAAAAAAAAAAAAAAAAATCACATGGAGAGGAAAAAAACCACACACACACACACACACACACACACAAAAAACCCCTTCCTGTAAACTGTCAAAGACAGTTTTTTGCTCCTTTGAGAGCATAATTTTCCAGCAGTGGCTCAGAAATTGATAGAGGTTGATGGCTTTAAGGGACATCAAGCTGGAGGACACCCTCAATGCTGAGGTATGCTGTCTGTGTGCTTCACTTGATAAAGCCACGTTTAATAACTCCCAGTTATTTGAATGTTCAAAGTTGTATTTTAAGTTGGAGGCCACCTGGCTGTGTTTTTTTATTTTTTATTTTTCTTCAACRTCACTTAAATCACAAATAAGCTCCCAGCATAAACTGCCCAAGGGCAGACGAAAGGAAACACGAAGCTTTGCCATGCGGTCCCTGGACTGTGATCCCAGCTTCCCTCCTTTCCAGGGAGAGCTGAGGGAGGCGTTTTTATTAAGGTCGGGCGTTTTTATTAAGGTCGGGCGCTTTGTGTTCTGACCTCCTTGACTTTTGTTTTATGAATGGAGAAAGTGTGAGGGGAAAGGAAAAAAACCCCACAACCATTTGGCTCTGTTATATACATAGTAGTATACATGTATGTTTATACACACACAGGTGTTAGTTGTCTGGGGCTTTCCAGGTGGCATTTTCACCCTGCTGTTTTGACCGTTAGAGAGGGGCGGGGTGTGTGTGTGTGTGTGACGGCGACCGTTAAGAGTGGGGTGTGCAGGGTGGGGGAGAGGCGTCGACCATTAGAGAGGGGCGCGCGGCGCGGAGTGTCGACCGTTAAGAGAGGGGCACGGGGGGGAGGATGTCAAGCAGGAGAGGGGCGCGTGGAGGGATTGGGGGGAGGTGTCGACCGTTAAGAGCGGGGCGTGCGGGGGGGGGGTTGAACCGTTAGGGAGGGGCGTGTGACGTCGACTGTTAGCGAGGGGCGCGCCGGAGGGGAGGCGTCGACCGTTAGAGAAGGGCGCGTGACATCGACCGTTAAGAGAGGAACGTGGGGTGGGGCGGGCGTCGACCATTAGAGAGGGGTGCGCAGCGCGGGGTGTCGACCGTTAGAGAGCGGCGTGTCATGTCGACGGTTAAGAGAGGGGCACGCGGGGCAGGGGATGTCGACGGTTAAGAGAGGGGCACGCGGGGCAGGGGATGTCGACGGTTAAGAGAGGG